AGCTGATCCAAACTAAATGCAGGTTTGGTAGAGTCTGCATTTAGAGCACCAGTGCAGTAGTGAGGGTTTAAGCCCCGATTAGGACCGCATGCTTTGCAAAATTGCGATGCACCGAGCGGCTAGCTGGTCAGGCCAGGCCTTAACCTTAATTCGAGTGGCCAATCTAATTAATGTGCCTGTCAGGCTGGCAACTCACGCTGCGTGGATCGATCGGTTGCTCATCGTGTGTGTGTGTGTGTGTGTTCGTTGAGCTGAAACGGAGGCGGGCGTGTGGTCAGGTCAGCCGATCGATCTTCACCGGCGCCGAGGTTAAATCCCCGTCGGAGCGGCGAGCGGCGGCCAACACAACTAACAGCAGCATTGCTCAGGAACACAGAACGGCGCACGTGTCCTTGTGCTGCTGTGTCTGTAACCAGTAGCCAGGGCCCAGGGGTGGGTGAACTGAACCGGGGCGTGCTTCTCAGTTCAGTTGAGCGTTGCTTTGTGGTCAAGTGCTCGTGTCTCCAATGCTGATGCTCAGCTCCTTGTCTTTCGCGTGCCGGCGTGCGTCGTCGGTGCATCGCTGCCGAGTGCCGGCTCCTGGAGATTAGAAGATGGAGCGTGATGGCAGCTGGCTCTGGCTACGCCGCCGCCGTGCTACCGCTGCCGCAGTACCGCAGTAGTTTGAGCGTTGATGGCAGCTGGCTCCTGGAGATTAGAAGATGGAACTGATGAAAATGAAAACACGGTGAGCGTCTGCGTTTGGGCGGTACTAAAACAAAATACTAGCCCACATTTACTTACTCTTGGGTCTGTTTGGTTGGTGCCAAACTTTGCCATGGCTAACATTCGACAAACTATGGATAAGAGTGTGGCGAGTAAAATCAAAACCACACTTATGACAAAGTTAGGCACGAAAATGAGTCCATGAAGTATGGGACGGGATGCTAAGAAGGTGTGGCATGCTATAATTGTGACAAAGAAAATATGATGTGCTATAACTGTGGTGATAAACCAAATAGTTCTAAAAAATTTATATGATAATCAACTTGTGGGGTGGTAAGTGTAGTCACGAACCAAACAAGCTCCACCACAAGTCTAGTCCGGTTGTAAGGATATAGCTACATACCCAGAACAGTCCACTCCAGTGCATTTGTAAATAACAAAAAAAATTGAGTGGAACAAAAAAATACAAATGAGTGGCAAAAATAGTAGCCCATGTTTACTTAGCCTAGAAACAGTCCCGTAGCCTCGAACAATCGAGCCCAGTTGTAAGCCTGTTGCTAAGAACACAGGCCCAGTTGTAAACCTAGTGCTAAAAAAACAAAACAAAGCCCATTGTTTACTTGGCCCAGAACAGTTTTAAGCCTGTTGCTAAAAAAGCAAAATAAATGTGTGGCTGCTGGGATTCGAGCCCAGGTCTCCACGGCCACAACGTGGAATTCTCACCACTAAACTACAGCCACATTTATGGTCATGAGGATCGATCTACACTTCTTAACCGATACAATTTCTTCAGTGGATGATTATGTAGGTCCCATGTCCTAAATTATAAAAATGGTTTTGGGCTCCACTTTTTTTTTTAACTTTTGCTCCATTTCGATACCATTTTACTAGTGTCAACCAAAAAACTATAGTGTGCCTTCTACATCTTACGATTATGATAAATACGTTGTATATAGCACATGGATAGCCCTACAACGCACACTTTATACCGCATGATCTATGAGCTGATCACCGAAGCCAATTTTTTTTAAATTTTTTAAAAAAATATTCACATTTACATCTGGGAATATTCAAGATTGTCTTAGTTTTCTAAACTTGTTAAATAAAATGTGAATCTAGGTATGCTTTGTACCTCACAATTTTCATGCTCAATTGAACTTTTTATATTTGAAAACATTAAATATTTTGTGCTTAGTTAGCATGCTTTGTTTGTAGATAAACTAGGAAAATATTGTTATAAATTAAATGATCAAATGAGCATGGGCATAGGCATGTGCCAACACGCGCATCCATGTGTAGATGATGCAAGAGTCATCATAAGAACAATAGAGGAAAATATAGGATTGGGAAGCCTATAGAAATTGCTACTGTTAATGCCTTTGGCTCGTAGCAATGGAGTATAGGAAATTTCCTTTGACTACTGTTTTGGAGGAAAACTACAAATTTTTAACATCCACTTACCTCTTGGTAAAATCCTACGTTTTTCCAATTGCCTATCCAAATGGTCATTCCTTCAAAATTCATGAGTTTTCTAATCCTCTGCTTTGCAACTGTAATTTTCAGAATCCTATGTTTTTTCTATTCCTATGTTTTTACTTTCTTGTGTTTCAAAGAAGGCCTTATTGGTCTAAATTTAATTTGAATACTGGCTTTAGCATCTATAATTTTTTATTTTCATGCAAAATTGTGACATTAGAAAAAATTGTCCCAGCGACCTAATAATCATTTATTTTTTGAGCAACTCCTAATAATCATTTAATACACTGGTTTGCTGGAGCAATAGGCCAGTCACCTAATCGTTCCAAAACGCAGGCCCAATATGAAGTTTTTGCACCCAAATCAATGTACAGCGTGCAACATTGGTTCCTGCTCCTCGACCGCCTCCGCAGTCCGCACCGACCTGTAAACAGTCTCCGCATTCTTCACCGGGAATCTCTCCGCAGCTGTCCGACCCCCCACGCGATTCTACAGCTGCGCGGCCCACGAGCTTGCAGCCAACCGACGCCACGCAGCGCGCCGAGTCGCCGACCATCACGTGATTCCGAACGAACGGGCTTTTATGGCTGCTCGTGTTTCGTTTTTTTCGTTTCTTTTTATGGGTTTTATTCTTCTTTTTATTTTCTTATCTTTTATATTTTTATTTCTTTTCTGTTTATTATTCCTTTTATTTTATTTTATTTCTTCTTTTTCTTTTCATTTTGTGGTTTATATTCTTCTTTTGTTTTATCTTTTCTTTTTATTCCACTATTACATGGCTTTTTTTACTTCTTTTTTTTATTCTACTATTAGTAATATCCATGTGATGCTTTTTTAAGCTATAAAAGTGCCTTTTTTCTTTCTATTATTTATGTCTTCTCGTATGTTTTTTCTATTTTTTATTTTGTATTTCTATTTATGATTTAATCTATTATGTGCCTCATAGCATTTGTAATTTTCTTCCCTATTTTCATCGATATTAGGATACTATTCATATAAACATGGTATTTTATTCTTTTAAATCTAATTCGTTATTTGTCCATATGTGTGATCTTTTTAAATTTTTATTACATATGTTACATGAGATACATGTCATGTTTGCCTAGTATATATATGTGATCTTTTAATTTTTTCTTTTCATTTATTTTTCTACATATTTTAGCGTTATTTATGTTTCATTTGTACTTTTTGTTATCTTACTCTAATTAATTATTTCAATAATTTTATATTTTACCCTTTTTATTTGAGATTAGCCGTGGGGGGGGCTACAGTGCTCTTTTCCGTGATTTACATGGAGCGGGCTTAGAACCGCCACATGAGGAGGAAGAAGAAGGCAAGGAGGGGTGGAGGAAGAAGAAGAGAAGAAGTAATCGATTCTCGGCACGTAATGTTCATGTAGTACGCATGTGACGTTTTATGATATATTTTGTGATGTTCTATGACTTATTTTTGTCATTTTCACGTAGTATACATGTGGTGTTCTACGATCTACTTTATGATATTCACGCAGTATACATGTGATGTTCACTCAGTATACTTGTGATGTTCGCGTAGTATATATGTGATGTTCTATAATGTATTTTAGGATGTTCTTTAGTATAAATGAGATTTTCCACGATTATCTTTGGGTATCTATGAGATATTGTATGGTACATTTTAGATTATTTAAATAGTATCTATGTGATATTCTTTTATATTTTTCTATGTTGTGTGGCTTTTTCCTTTTTTCCTTATGTTTTTTATATTTACTATTTTTATATTTATGTTATTCTTTATTTTATTTGGGATACCGACAGATCTGAACACCTCTAAACGGATTCGGTCTCGAACATTTGTAAATATAAAAAACATAAGTTTAATGTTCCATACAGTACCAGTGAGATGTTATATGATATATTTTAGGTTGTTCAAGTAGTATACATGTGATGATTTTTATTTTTATTTAATTTAAATGGTCTAATAAAGTTTAATAATATAATTTTTTATAACTTTAAAATATTTACTTGACGTGGTGGTTGACAATGATTTTATTAGGCCAAAGCACCCTGCACACTATTTTTGTTCCTATTTCCTTTTATTACATTTAATATTTACTCTTTTATTCTTTCTTATATTTAATTTTGTTCCTATTTCCTTTTATTTACATTTACTATTTACTATTTACTATTTCTCTTTTCTTCTATTTGGAAACGCAACGAACACCCGTGTGCGGGGCAGGAATACGACCAGATCGCGGCAAACTCGTAGAAACGCTTCCTCCGCGGAGCTGGGCCGGTCCGGCACAGGGCGGGATCTCTGAGCGTGAGCGTGCGAGCTGGGCCGGGCCGTGGGTGAATCGCGAGCTGGCACGCGGGTGGGTCGGCGCGGTGCTGGCCGCCACCCTGGTCGGACACCAGCACGACCATTCTTCACCGCCTGCCTTTCCTTCTTCTCCCTGTTCCCCACCCTGCGTCCCTGCCTGCGCGCGTTCTCTCTTGTGGCGCTACTAGGCGACCGCCGCCGCCGCTCTACGACACGAGCTCGGGTCTAGCCTCGTCGGTTCCTTCGCCGGGTCTTCATCGGGCCCTTCGTCGGCGACCAGCACTCACCAGGTAACCCCTCCTCTTCACTTCCTGCCGTGCGAAACCGAGCACCCGAACCCTAGCTTAATCTATTTGGGTACGAAACCGAGAACCAGAACCCTAACTTAATATAGTTGGGTATTTGTATTCGTATCTGCCTAATTACAAGTTTATATAGGTATTATATGCCTAATAATTTCGTTTGTTTTTGCAAAAGTTATTGGGTCACCCATGTCGTCCGCCCCTGCGGTTGACGAGATGGAGCTGGACGGCGGTGAGCGGCACCGGGATAAGGAGAGGAGGGAGAGGCATAGGAGGGAGGAGAAGGATTACAATGGTAGTGGAAGAAGGGACAGGGAGAAAGAGAAGGACGACAGGAGAAGGGAGAAGGATGATGGTAAGCATAGGGACAGGGACAGGGACAGGGATAGGGACAGGGAGAGGGAGAGGGAGAGGGAGAGAGATAGGGATAAGGATAGCAAGTACAGGGACCGGGATAAGGAGCCAGAGCGTGACCGTAACCGTGACCGTGACCGGGGCAAGGATCGGGAGCGGGAACCAGATCGGCAGCGTGACAAGGACCGTGGCAAAGACCGGGATAAGGAAGCAGAGCGCAATAAGGAAAGGGAGCGGAGGGACAGGGATAAGGAGAGAAGCCGCAACAGAGACAAGGACAAGGATAGGGCAGAGAGGGAGGATAGGGATCACGAGAAGTCAAGGGAGAAGGGTCGTGGAGAAGATGATGCAGATCCATCCAAGGGTGACAAGGGGGGTCAGAAGCAGAGAGTTGATGCCTCAGGGGATGCTGAGCAGCCCGCAGCAGATGAGCTCAGAGAGCGCATTGCAAGGTAGCCCCTTGGTCTTTCCTTCTTCATATGTTTGATAGCATGTTGAGCAACTGTATGTCGTCATTTGCCTCAGTTCAGAATGATATATATAGGTGATAGAGCAACTCAATGGAATTAATAATATTCTCACGGGCATCGTCTTCCTGCCACGCTTAACTGCGTCACCTTCTCTGCTGATACATAGGTTAACTCAAGACAGCATTTATGCATAACCAACCAACATTGCAAATACGTCTAATTTTTGTATGATTTATTTTACTTGTTGCGTTCATATGCATTAGTCAGGCAAAGTTGTGGCTGATGGCTGTCTCCAGCACATTTAATGCGCATATGAAGTGCATTTTGGTTGAAACCAGTCTTGTGTTGTTATAAACCTGCACAACTTTGAAGATTTCCTAAGGTTCCCAGGTTAAAACAACTTGGAAAATACTGTCTTACTGATGTTGAAATTATGAACAGAGAAACCTTTACACTGAAGAACATTGACAATCTTTATCGTAAAGCATAAATAACATGCAAGTTCAGGAACATCTTATAGGGCTTAAGATTTTAGGCAACAGAAACCTTTGGTAGTGGTCTATCTGCTAATGAACCATGGCCATTCAGTGTAATCCGTGATTGTCATATATTGTACTCCCTCCATTTTTAGAACTAATTAGCTTGTCCTAAATGTCATATATTTAAATACGGATGGTGTATCTGTTAGCGGTCTGTATATCATTCCTGAATCAACTAATAATCTCTGTTTCTGTTCAACAAAGTACAGCTAAGTATATCATGGTTTGGTTCTGCTTCCCTTTTCCATCTTCATCCATCACTTATTAAACAATAGAGCTTGTAAATCTGATCAAGCTAGAGCTATAATGTTTCCTCTTGCTGTCAAATATTGCTATTAAGCAATGAAACATGCAAATATTTTCTAAATCAGGCTGTTTCCTGTAGGTCAAAGGAGGAAAGATTGAAGGACAAAAAGGAAGGAGGAATACTGGATGGTAATGATGGGGCTTCCGAGATACTGTCATGGGTGGGAAAGAGTCGTAAACTTGATGAAAAAAGGCAAGCTGAAAAGGAGAAAGCATTACGTCTTGCACGAGCATTGGAGGAACAGGTTATTATTGCCAATTGTTTTTGGATATACTGTCATAAGTTATGTGTCCTTCAATAACCTTAATCTGTTTTGATGTCAGGATAATATCTTGGCAGAAAATGGTGACGACGATGATGATGAAGAGGAAGATACACAAGTTGGAGGTAGTAATATACAAATCTTTTGTCGCAAAGATTTTTTTCTTGGAACTGTTAATAGTTGGCTAACTGCTACATTTTTTGGGGGTGATACAATTGTTTGTTTTTAATATACTGTGAATTGCAATCATGGTTACAAGTGCCTTTGTTTTTTGTTTTGGGAAAAACAGACCACTTATCTGGTGTTAAGGTTCTTCATGGCCTTGATAAGGTTTTGGAAGGTGGTGCAGTTGTCATGACTCTCAAAGATCAGAGTATTCTTGCCAATGGGGATATCAATGAAGGTAAAGGTTCCTCTCTCTCTCCCCCTCATCTTTTCTCAGTCTGGCCATTTTCTCTAAAGAAAATAATTTGTAGATGCTGATATGCTTGAGAACATTGAGATTGGTGAGCAGAAACAAAGAGATGAAGCTTATAAGGCTTCAAAGAAGAAAGGAACTTATGATGACAAGTAAGTTCACACATGGTCGTTGGTTGTTGCTATTGTCTCATAGATTTGTCCGCTAATCTTCATTTTATTGGTTGTTTGTAGGTTCAGCGATGATTCATTGTCAAAGAAGTCGATGCTGTCACATTATGATGACCAAATGGAAGATGAGGTAAACATTCTGTTTAGCTTCATTTGCTTGCATTTCCAGGATTTTCTGTAATTGTATTGTCTTTTAACTTATCAGGGTGTGACACTTGATGAAGGTGGACGTTTCACCGGTGAAGCAGAAAAGAAGCTAGAAGAGGTGATTTATATTTTGCCCTATAAACCATAATATTTCACTAGTGGCATCTCCCTTGTTTCTTGGGATAATACAAATACACTCTGCTGGTGCACTCCTTGAACTGATAGACATTTTTTTGCCAGCTTCGGAAAAGGATTGAAGGTAATTATATTCAGAAAAAGACAGAAGACCTTACTTTCACCACAAAGATGGCAACAGACTATTTTACCCCTGATGAAATGCTTAAATTTAAAAAACCAAAGAAAAAGAAATCCCTGAGGAAGAAGGATAAGCTGGATCTGGATGCACTTGAGGCAGAAGCAATTGCTTCTGGATTGGGGGCCGCTGATCGTGGGTCCAGGAACGATGGAAAGAGACAGTCCGCTAGGGAGGAAGAGCAAGCGGCTGATGCTGAAAAGAGAAATAGTGCATATCAAACTGCCATTGCAAAGGCTGAAGAGGCATCAAGAGCATTGCGCGAGGAGAAAACTGCACCTACTAAACCGGCTGAAGAAGAACTTGTTTTCGGTGATGATTATGAAGATCTACAGAAATCTCTGGAGCAAGCAAGAAAGTTGGCCCTAAGGAAGCAGGAAGAGGCTGCCGCTTCTGGTCCTCAGTCCATAGTTGAACTGGCTACTGCAACCAAGAGCCAAGAAGGAGATTCAGAACAGAATAAGGTTGTTATCACAGAGATGGAAGAGTTCGTGTGGGGACTACAATTGAATCAAGGTAACCTCTTTGAAGGTTTTTCGATATAAATTTTTGAAGATGTGTGATAGAGTTTATAAGTCCTAGTGATAATGAGCTCTTAAGTATTGAATACTGCTGTTATCTTTTACCAGGAACACGCAAGCCAGAAGACGATGTGTTTATGGATGAAGATGATGATGCCATGCCTTCAGGTAATCTTGCAAAAGATGACGCTATTGGGTTGGCAGAGATGGAAGAGGAAGCTCTGACAGAAATACCAGCCACGGTTGAAGAGGATGGAGTCAAACCGGATGAGGTTATACATGAAGTTGCAGTAGGCAAGGGTTTAGCTGGTGCTTTGAAGATTCTTAAGGAGCGAGGAAGCCTCAATGAGGGAACAAATTGGGGAGGCAGAACTACAGACAAGAAAAAGAGCAAGCTTATAGGTGTGGAGGATGGACCTAAAGACATTCGCATTGAAAGAATAGATGAATTTGGTAGAGTGGTAAGTACTCAGCCACGTCCTGTCCTGCCCACTCCCATCCGGGTCTCCATGATGCATAGACACAACAGAAATTAATTATTGAATTGCATTTTGCATTTTTAATGATTTTGGCAGAACTAACTTTATATAGATTGTTAGTAATATCTTCTTTTCATCAACATGATAATCATTTCTCTTTTGGTGCTATTCTTGCAATTTATTTTACGTCTGGGAGATTGGATGTGAAAAAATGACAATGTTTGTCCTGAACAATGTGTGTTTTCTCCCCCTCAGATGACACCTAAGGAGGCATTCCGTCATCTTTCGCACAAGTTTCATGGCAAGGGGCCAGGTAAAATGAAACAAGAAAAACGCCAGAAGAGATACGAGGATGAGCAGAAAACCAAGCATATGAAATCTTCTGACACACCATTATTGGCCGCGGAAAAGATGAGAGAGGCTCAATCTCGCAACCAAACACCATACCTCATTTTAAGTGGCAATGCAAAAACAGGGTATGCTCACAACATGCTTATAACCTCCACTTTTGTATTTTAGTTTTCATTGATGCCACTAGCCTACTAAGCTTGCCGAACTGTTCTGATATCCTGGAATTCCTTAACGAAATATTTACAAATGTTACTCCCTTGATTGTAGTATTGCATTATGGTACACAGTTGTTTCTTTTGCTAATATTTCCTTTTGTTTATTAATTTTGATCAGTTAAAATAAAGTTGTTATCTAGTTATTTATGTTGGCCTTTTAAGCTTTGGAAAAGTATCAAGTGGAAACCCACTTGATAAGGATTATTGCCTTTAGTTTAGACTTTGGAGGAACTAAATGGACACATGGATGGTTATTTGTGGAACTTCATGAATTTAGAAATAGAACACGAGGGATCCCAATATAAATAAGAATATGAGCCATCTGTTTTTTCATCCAATGGCTCATATGGGAGCTTGAGTGTTGTCAATAGAGACACTGTTAATCATCCCCTTCCAATCGAAGTTGATAGCCATCTTATGTATGTATTATTATGTAATAACTTCTCAATTTTTTTCCTGATGAAATTACTAATCTAGTTTATCTATGTTTATTTTAGTCAAACAAGTGATGCTGGCAGCTATGCTACCTTGGAGACACAGCAACCTGGGAGCCTAACACCCATGCTTGGGGACAAAAAGGTTGGCCTGTGATATCCCCTGTTGTATTCTGTAATATTCTTACTTGTTTAATGATGGACAATGCTACATATATTCAGAGATCTGATGTTGACTGGTTTTTCGGCAGGTCGAGCATTTCCTGGGCATCAAACGAAGTGCCAAGCCTGGAAGCTTACCTCCTCCAGTCCCAAAGAAACCGAAGAACTGAACCTGCTCTGCCATTCACTGTGAGTAGCAATCAGCCGACCTGCCAGGCACATTCGCTGTTAGCAGCAATCAGCCCACCAGCTTCCGCAGGCTACAACAGGGCCAGATATCTACACGGCATACTCAAGCCCCCCAGTGCACTGAAAATGCAATAGCCTGTACATTTCTTCAAAACTGATCACACTAACATTCTGACACGTTCGATGCGATTTTGTAATTCAGTGATACGTGTGCATCCTTGCTCTGCCAAATGCAGATGTTGAACATTTAAGTGATGGAACTAAATATTGTTCTCGCGACACACCGTTTTGGTTTGAATAAACTGTAGTTACGATGTCTGCCTTGGGGTTTCAGTTGTTGCTGGCATTCAAGTGTCTTCGAATAAGGTTGACAAACTTAAGGTTGTGACAGCTTAAGGTTAAAGCAGCTTGTGTCAAGTGCTAACCTCCGTTCTGAAAATGATGCAATTCTTGACTATTTAAATTTTTGATCCAGTATATATAGAAGAGTGTTAATATTTATGACATCAAATAAATATATTATAAAAAATGTATTTCATGACGAATATAATGTCACTTATTTGATATCATAAATATTCAATACAGGGAGTTGGAGTGACCTTGCTTCCCTGCCCTAGCAGCGGCGGTCAGAACCCAAACATACCGGACCGGTGTACCACCTGCGCAAGCATAAACCAGCTAAATTTTCCCCGAATGAGATATCGTATATATAGAGCTTGTAATTTAGGCACCTTTCTGTTCAAATTTTTATTGTGGGGTGTATGTTTTATCCTTAGCGGCCAGATTCCTAGAACATTGGAATGTCACTTGTAAAAACCGTGGTACGTACGAAGGGGATAATATTTATTTGCATTGTTCTTTCAGCAACGTAATCGGAACGAGGGACATGTTCTATTTTGGTAACGCATTTGAGGCAACTAGTATGATCTTGTTCTGTAGATCGTGATATCATGTGTCTATATGATATTTACACAAATAAAGTAAAGCATGGCATAAAATCTAGAGTCTAAATGTATGGTGAAAAAGATGAATATGCGCTATTGAGAGCATCCTAGACTTTCAGTTGAGTTCCTCCACGTTTCTTGTTTGGGAATCAGGTTTTCAAAACATTGAATGAGACGATGTTTCACGTTTCTGGGCTTCTGGCTGCTACTTCTAGGACAAACGAAGCCAAAGCTTGCGCCAATGCAGCAGCAGCAGCGATGGTGTGATTTCACCGCACTTTGAACGGCTCAACTGGTCTCACCTCACCTCTCACGTGTTAGGGACACAAGGTAATTGACGGCCGAGAGGTAGAAATCAGATGCCCCTCACAGTAACCGGGCATCATTAGTAGAGATTTTTTAATAAAGGTGACAAGCAACGGCGCTGGCCATGACCATGACCATGACCTGACCTCGTGCGGATTGCTGTGGCAAGCAGGACGCGTCGCCTCGCCGCCTGATCTGAGACGTGAACCTCGCCGTCCGTCGCCGCCTGAGAGACACGATGAAAAAGGCAACGGAGACGGGGGAGACACAGAGAGCCCCTCGTCTCGTACGCCTACGAAACGAAAGCTTGGACAGGTCGCCACGCCATGTCCAAATTCCAACGTCCAAAGCGATGTGGTTCTACCGCACTGACACCGCCCGCGGCCCGTCCTAAGAAATGCCATTCAGAGGACACGCTTTATTACCTACTCTGAAAGCCAAAGGCAACCCCATCATCGTCTGATCTGATTCCTTTCCAGCACAGACTCTGCCGAATGACCCCCAGCAACACAATCGCCACGAATCCTGCCGACCGCGCCTGCCCCCTGTACCGGCAAAACCCATGCCCAAAAATCATCCACACCAGGTCGGTTGCGCTTGCATAATTGCATTGCGTTTGCACCCTTCGCCAAAAGCAGGCGTCATAGGCCAGCTCCAGTCCATGAACTGGACGTCGCGTCGGAGAGCACTCGGAATCTCTCTCATGGAGGATGACGAGTAACGCAGGAATCCCTGCCCTGGAGTAGTTTAAGCAGGAATCCCTTAGAATTCAGAAGGGCAATGCTACGGCCTACGGCACTCTGATTAGCTACCAGGAGTCAGGAGATAATAGCTTAAACAAATCTGAGTCATTGAGTTTTATAAATTTATTTATAGATTATTAGTTAAATAAACAAATAACCTATGAAAAGGGGAAAAAAATCCCCTCCAAATCCCTTAAATCTCAGGTTGCATTCTGATTGGGAATCCTTGGTTTTCCTATCCTTCCTTCTATCTGATTGGTGTTTTGGAACACCATAGTTAATCCTAATTCAGAAACACACACGCATCACTGACTGAAACACTCCCCACTGACTGACGTCGCTGTCATGCGTATGCCTAATTGCCTATGCGTGCGTCCCTGTCATCCTCCAACAAACAAAACCCCGTGGCCTTTTTTTTGGTGTATAAATACGGCAGCCTGCTATGCGGAATGCAGGCGCCATCAACCTCTGCAGCTGCAGGACATTGTGGTTGTGCTTCCGTTTGGCCTCTAGGGTGCTTGCATTGGGCAGTGCAGGACACTGACGGCGAAGATGGAGGCGTACGCTGCCGGAGCCAAGTTCGACTGCTTGCTGTTTGGTGAGGACCAAATTAATCCAGCATGAACATTTGGTTTGCTTGCTTGGAATTCTTCTGAAATAAACATGAATTGGCCATGCACCGCGCAGACATGGATGACACTCTGTACCCGCTGAGCCTTGGCATCAACGTAGCATGCCGCAAGAACATACAGGGCATGCAAATCTAGCATCTACGTACCGAGCTTTGCAATCTCCGAGCTATCTGCTATTGCAGTATAACGACTGACCAAATTGCAGAGTACATGCTGAACAAGCTGCGGATCGAGGAGAGCCAGGTTCCCAAGATGTGCCTGGACCTGTACAGGGAGTATGGAACTACAATGGCCGGCCTCAAGGTATATATCTTTGCTGTATCTCTCTCGCTACGACTGAACATTCGTTTATTCGCATCTTGATTGTTCAAGCTTCTGTTTCATATGATCTGGATCATCATGTGTTATGCTAGGTTTTGGGGGTACGATTTCGACTACGACGACTTCCACGCCTGCGTCCATGGGACGCTGCCGTACGACGGTGCTCAGGCAGCTGCTGCTTTCCCTGCCGCAGAGGAAGATCGTGAGCCCTTTTTCCCGGACTCTGATTCCCAAATTACTAATTCCTCTTTGCTCATGTCTGAAACTAACTGCTGCTCCTGGCCCGGCCGTCTGCAGATATTCAACAACTCTGACAAGGCCCATGCGGCAAGAGTCCTGGAGAAGCTCGGCCTCGAGGACTGCTTCGAAGGGATCATCTGCTTCGAGACCCTCAACCCGCCGCTGACCGAGAAGAAGGATGGCAGGGGAATCCTGTGCAAGCCCTCGCTGGAGTCCATGGAAGCCGTCATCGACATCGCCAGGCTCGACGCCAAGAGAACGGTACGGTAGTCGAACGAAAACCACAGTGCTTGCTTTCGCATGTTCGATAGATTCTCCACTGAAATTGAAACCCCCATGACCGTCGTGGCTCCCTCGCATCGCAGGTGTTCTTTGACGACAGCCAGGGGCGGATCCAGAACGGGGCTGTGTCTCGACCTGAGCTATTGATTCACGTTTAAACAGTCTGATCTTACTTCCTAAGTTTCCTTTTATCTAATTAAAATCGTAGTTTTTTAGCTAAACAACACATAGGTTAAAGGGCCTACATGGACTCGCTCCGGGCTACAGCCCGGAAAGCCCGGGCCCTGGATCCGCCCGGACAGCGCGCGCAACATCGCCGCCGGGAAGGCCGCCGGTTTCCACACCGTCATCGTAAGCTTTTGCTCAGTTTCTCACTGCGTGCGTGCGCGTTCTGCGGTCCACTGCGGATCGATGCTGACAGCAGGCATGGCATGGCAACGTGTGCAGGTGGGGATCTCGGCGCTGGTGCCAGGGGCGGACGTGGCGCTGGAGAGCATCCACAACATCAAGGAGGCGCTCCCGGAGCTCTGGGAGGCCGCCGGCGATCACGTCGAGGCCGTCCTCCGGTCCGCCGCCGTGGAGACCACAGTGATTGCCTGAATAATACGAAGAAATTATCCGTTACGGGCTCACGGCCACGTAATAGTGTATAGTAATATCTCGTGACGTGCAAAATGCGTTGGAATGTGGTGTGCCTGATCAAGCCTTAAGCACCGTAGTTATCAGTACTACTAATATGTGCCGGACCGGAAATTATACTAGTACTAATAAGGTTCTCGTCCTATTGGTCCGTGTTTTTTATGGCGCGGCCCGTTGTGAAAATGGATGGCTCGTTCAAATGCACACGAATTGAAATATAAAATGATTTGTCCATCACTCCATCTTCCTTACGATGTTAATCTTTTGGGTTGAACTTTACGTCAATACAACTCAATATGCTATCGGTGCTAGAGGTTCTGACTTCTGAGTTTAAATCCACGGAACTACTAGCGTCCGGATGTCCGAACGCAAGGGACCTTTGTACCGCGCCTTGCTCCTTCCGCACAGAATCACGCCCCGCCCGCCCCGCACGGAGAAGAAGTAAAGATCGGAACCACCTTCCTCCGCTCCCCGTGCACGGAACCCGCCCCCCCCCGCGCACGGAACGGATCAAATAGAACGGGTTTCCCATCCGCCCCCTAACCTCGCCCGCCCCCAACACACTCCCATCAGAAAAAATTGTTTGCAACATCAAACAAAGCACAAATACGAGGTGAAACATCAAAACAAGTCTATTGCAACATCAGAACAAAAGCGACTGCAACAACACAACAAAGCTTGATACAATATCAGAAAAAAATACTAATGCAACAAAGAAAAATTACTTGTTGCAACAACAAACCAAAGTTACTACAACAACAGAAACAAAAGCAATGCGAGATGCAACATCAGAAAAAAGGCTAATGCAACAAAGAATAAGTACTTGTTGCGACAGCAAACCAAAGCTACTGCAACGACAGAAAACAAAAAGGGTAGTGCATACAACATAAAAAAAAAGACTAATGCAACAAAGAAATATTGCTTGTTGCAAGAAAACAACACTAACGCAACAACGAAACAAAAAAAGCGCGAGATGCAACATAAAAACAACTAATGCAAAAAAAAAAAAGTTCGATGCAAAAAATAAACAAAAAAGCATCGATGCAAAAGAAAAAAACTAATGCAACAAAGAAATATTACTTGTTGCAACAGCAAAACAAGCCTACTGCAACAGAGCTTGCCGGAACCCTAGCCACCGCCGTGTCCCTCAGATCCAGATCCAGAGGAGGAGGAGAAGGAGGAGTAGAGCTCAAATCCAGATGAGGAGGAGGAGAGAGAGGAGGAGGAAGAGGAGATCTCAGATCCAGAGAAGGACCCACCTACCTCGCGGAAGCAGCCGCCGCCGTTGCCCTCCTCTCCGGTGGCATGGAGGTCACAGAGGAGCGAGGGGGGAGGCAGGGAGGGAGGGAGGGGCAGCTCACCGGAAGCCACCGCCGTCGTGGCATGGAGGTCGCGGGCGGGAGGGAGAGGCGGCGTCGTGCGAGCAAAGCGAGAGAGTGGAGGAGCCGGGAGGAGGAGAGGGCAAGCAGAGCAAGAGAAGTGAAGCGGTGTCGGACGGGCGGATAAGACGAGGCGTCGGTCGAATCGTTTTCTGATGCGCGTCGACATTCCGGACGTTCGAGTAGAAGCATTACCGTTAAATCTAGGCAAAACAATTAAATAAAATGATTGTAGCTCACTGTGTTGACATACAAAGTGAATTGCGTGAAGGTGAATAGTTGTTCAAAAGTAAATTGTGTACCTTCAGTGTCAACTCAACATCACTTAAAAAATTCAGAGCGAGACTGAGCAATGTATAGGGGCCATTGCTCCATCTCGAGGTTAAGGTAGCTCTAACAGTGTTAAAAGAGCCAGCTCATAGAATATTTTATTGAGTAAGAAGGAGAAAGGATGATAAGTTAGCTCATCACAAAGAGCTAAGCTCACATACTTTTTCATGATTCGTGTGTCTTTTCCACACGTTTGCTTGTACTCTCATGTTAGGTTACTCTATTTGTATCTTTTTTTTTTAAGTCCATACGAGTTAGCAAGCTGTTGTTTAGGATGTCCTTACAACTTGTAACAATGAATAGTCGAATGCAAAAATTAATTCAAAGACGGCAATAAAAACTAATGATCCTTTTATTTAATACTCTTTACCCTATGCTAATTTGGTGTTTCTCTTGTAAACCACAATCTTCTATAATTCGAACATAAATTACTACATTAACTGACTGTCTTGCTTATAAAATTATGGAAAATGAATACTTAATCACAATATACCACCACATCTTCTGTTAAAAAAAAACTAAATGTGTCCTTTTCCATAAGGCGAAAAAAGGAGAAAAGAAAAAGAGGCCTGGCATATAAAAGCTAGTCGCCAGAAATTAATTCTTGGCGAGGTGGTGGTTGTAGTTGGGGAGCTGTCTGTGAATGACTCCACTCCAGCTATAAAAGTTTGAACTCTGGTGCCACAAATTTATATACACGCTGAATTGTTGAAGTCCTTTTAATTAAGTGTTTAAGTCTTAACAGTTAAGGATGTGTCTCTACTCTTTAATTACACTTTAAAATCTGATCTGATCCACTCCATAATTGAAGGAGGCAACAAAAAGGAACAGACTATACTATATATGTGGTGTTCCATTTCATCTATTGTCTTCTTCTATGTCTCATTGTTGGCAAGGTATATAATTGATGATTCCAGTGGATGATGATGCTGACTAAACCCCTATGTGGTGCCTGATGCGCTGATAGTTTCATAATTGAGATAACTCGCACGCGGAAAATGTTACATGTGTATATGCTCCGTGCTCTAATATTCTTTTCTTTGGACTAATTAAGCATGCCGGTTTGGTTACTTTAGTGTGGTTTGTTGAGGTAGGAGCTCTATCATGTGTATAGTTTGGTGCTCAACGTAGTTTTATGGCACTTCTATTGTGAAGTTTAATTAAAATTTTACCCTTATTTGTTTAACGTTGTGAATTCTCCCCAACCTTTCGAAACAAAGGGAGAATTTGCCATGTTCCGTTCAGAGAAGTTAACCGTGTTAATTCAACTTAAAAACACTAGTTTTTGCATGTGAATTAGCTCCTACATTTTTAGTAATATGTGATTCTGAACTCTTTTGACATAAAAAATTTGGACAAGATTTTGAAAGAATTTTTACAACAAAAATTGCAAATATTTCAAATCCAAGCAAATTTTAACAAGTTTACATACTTAGCTAACCATCTGCTGGAGTTGGGAAGGTTAGGATAAGGTGTTACCGTGTTAGCATTGTCTTTTTAAGTTTATATATGGAAATTTTATTTTTCTTTAATTCGTTTATTTGACCTCCAACTAACAGAATCTAGAATAGGTGCGAATTGTGGCTTCGAATTTAACACACAAGGCTAAAATCATAAAGTTAAAAAAACAAAGATAAAATCAAATTAGTCTTCAAAAGAGGAGCAAAAATGTCAATCTCCCTAGTTTAATTCCACACTTATATAGGAGAAGTGAACAAAAAGTTAAACCGGTTAGTTTGTCCAAGAACTTTTCCTTTTACTCCTATTATGTTATTATATACTTCATCCGTTCCAAATTATAAGTCGTTTTGACTTTTTTGGTACATCAATTTTGTTATGCATCTGGATATAATAATATGTCTACGTACATAGTAAAATGGATGAATCAAAAAAATCAAAGCGACTTATAGTTTGGAACAGAGGGAGTATATAATATGTCATCACGCAAGTAGTGCACAACTGCCACGATCATCTAAACTATATATTCGCAATACAGTAAGCTTCAAGCTTTAACAAGTAACGACGGTAGCGTAGCACTAACAGCTAGCACAAAGTCTCGAGCCACAAACCCTGTGCCCATCCTTTTCAACACGCTCTAACCCTGAGTCAGTGAGATGAGTGGCCATATTAATAACAACAAAGCAATAGCAATCACCACGCATTATGCGTGCCCACAGCTACCGAACTACTTCATCCATCCTTAAAAAATGATATAATTTAAGCATAGCATCAAATGAAATAAATTTAAATTTATATAAAAACATCAACATTTAATTATTTATGAGATCAAAGAAGTGTCAATAAATTTTTCTTGTAATATAATGTCATAAATTTATATTCTTTTCAGGACGTAGTCCGTAGGTAGTAGCCAATTTAAAGCGTAGCAAGAATCTTCGGTCAGTTCTTACCTTCTTTGGAGATGACACGTTGCTAGCAGGTAAGAAAGACTGTTAAAAGAACCTCGTGGATTAGTTTAAGGTCAGACACTCAGACGTACTTCCACTTGTTGATACTTAATGCCATAGGAGTATGTCATCTCCAAACAAATAAAGGCGGCAGGCCTGTAACCTTCAAAGATGTACAAGTCTATGTTTTAAAATATAAGACACGATTTCTAAAAATAGGTTTTTGACCTGTAATCTATCTTATATTACAACATTTGTAGCAACAAAATTGTAGCTATGTTTTTTTGAGGAGTCAAACAAAATTTAGCCATTAGATTGTACTTTTAAATATTTTTAAATTCTAAACTAAGAGTTGAGTGTGTCAACCTAAAATCTTAAATTTATAGGAAAAGGTGAGTAAACACCTCCTCATATATAGGCTCTCTCGGACTTTCAATGTAGAAATATAAGTCGATTATAATAATTATTTCTTTAATACATCCATCAGGATTTGAACTCGAGATCTCTAGTTTTGATACCATATTAGGTTGCATGAATTGATCAATTCAACCAAAATCTTAAGCAGAATAGCCAACTTCGTCCCTCAATTATTGTTTGATGCTCAATTTCATTCATGAACTACCAAAGTGGTCGCTTCCGTCCTTAAAGTTTAATTTCGAGCTCAATTTCATCACATAACTATCAAAATGGCCATTTAAGTCCTTATACTTTATTGTTGATCTCAATTTCATGTATACACTATCAAAGTGACCATTTGAATCCTCAATTTTTTCTTTTGGGCTCCTCGCTCCTTAGTTTGAGGATTGGAAAAGTTTTGAGGACTAAAATGACCTTAATAACGAAATTG